TATACACAAACACACACAATAATACTAAAACATTTTATTATTTATTTACAATAAAAAAGTAAAAATATTATATTTGAAACCATTATATATTAGGTCTCACAAAATATGTATATATATATATATGTAATAAAAATAACATTTATCTCAAAATATAGAAATTAATATTTAATCAAAACAAATATTAATCATTTGACAAACAATATTTAATTATAATAACTAAATAATATATAAGATGTAATTAAAATCTATAGAATAATTATGTCAAATAAATCATAGAATAACTTTTTTCATGTTAATTACATTACAATATTAGTGGTCAATTGAATTTATTATATATAATAAATTTTCTACATTTTGCTCCACTAGTCCACTTACTAAGGATGATGTCAAAAGCCTAGTTAAGGGACCTTACATTAATGAATAGTTAATTTAGAAATAAGAACATCAATAAATAATTAAAAAAAGACATAAGACCTACGTTGCTTTGAAAAAAATGAGGAAAGGTGCATTGAGAAGCACTCGAGCTATCTCGAAAACAAATGTTTAATCTGATTTTGATATCAATCAAAAGTTTCTTACAATATGTTTACAACGAGTCTTTCAATCATATTTTCCTGTTGCAGCAAGGATCAGACCTGTCATGCAATCATCATGGCTGTGGCAGAATCTGTTTTCTCAATTCTTCCTTTGGCAGCAAAGATCACAGGCGTGACAAAATCGTCACTGCCCTGTAATCTGCCCTTGGCTTTCCTCCATTGTAACCATTGTTTCACTTGCTTGATTGACCCTTTGAATGAGATCTTCTTGAATTTCTTGGTCTTTACTCCACCCATGCCTTTTAGTCATGTAAAATGTGAATAAATATAACCAGCACAATAGATATTACAATTTTATCCATAATTTTGTAGTTCAATTAATAAACCAGTCACTGATCAATAAATATAATTGACTCAAAGACATACCTGAAGACGCAAGGAAAACCACAAATGCAGTCAACAATGACAACTTTTCTCCTCAAACACTGGTTGACACAGCCAAATTTGGGCGTGCTATAGTTCTGGAAAAATTAGACAAAGGAAAAGATTTAGTTTGAATCACTGGCATGCTAAAAATTATCAACACTACAACATTAGGAAAAGAACATAAATACTTTTTTTCCTCATAAAATGATCACATCGGATTAAGATTCTTGACACTGAATAAATTTCTATATCACTTCAAGAATCCTAAACTGCGGGTTTCTTTATCTCTTAGTGGGTCCTGTTTTGGTTTGGGTTGGTTAAACTTGTACTTTGATGGGGTTTCCTTTTCCTTTCTCCGACCCGAAAGACAAACTTGATTTATGATATTTTTTAATATCATAAATCAATTGCAATAATTAATAAATATTGAAAAATGTAATATATTTTAAAATTAATATGTATAAAAATACAATGTGAGTTGAATACAAGTAAAGGAAATTAAAAATAACTAATGAGTCACTTAACTGTAATAAAATTATGAAATTATTTTCAATGAATTACATAAAAATAAAACATAACAACGAATAAAATGAATAAATAAAAAAGTAAATTAAGTTTTAACATTAAAAAATGCAAATAGCCTACCAGTTTACAAATAACCTTTATTTCCTCTTTTTCTATTAAATCACTCAAACATATAAGATACAAGACTAGTTCTAGGATGCACTAGTGCTTCATGTGATGCACGGTGCTCCAATAATAATGACCTTTAAATCAAATTAGTTTTTAATTATTATGATACACCTTTTCAAAATGCACACCATAGCAAGCCTAACTTTTTCCCTTTCTAAACACCCACCACTAAGCACTTTTGCTAAAGGCGATTTTCGACAATGGTGTTTCATTTTGGCACTGTTGTTGATGATCTCCATTGTCAAGCCTCATCTTCGGCCATATTACCCTCACCTTCACGCACAAAACTTGCAAAATTGGTTTTGTTTTAGATATCATCTTTAGGGAGTATGGGTAAAGTGAGGATTGAAAGGCATGTGTGAAAGTTGTAAGATGATGGGCATTCATCTTCATTGGAGACAAAAACGAGCGTTCACGACATTGTTGTTCTTGAAGGAAAGGAAGAAGCAACAGAGGTTGTAGGTGACCAATGTGTCAAACAGTCGAGATGTTATTGTTCTTGGAGGAAAGGAAGAGGCGACGAGAAAGCAGAGCAACTAGGGCGTCAAACAGTGACAACATCATTGTTCTCAAAGGAAAGGAAGAGGCAGTGGGGTAACAAAGTGACTAGGGTATCAAACGATCATGACATTGGTGTTCTTAGAGGAAAGGAAGAGATGACGGGGCAGGACAAAGGACTGAGGTAAGGGAGCAAAATGGCCAAGGTGTTGAACGGAGGAAAGAAAAAGGTGGGGAAGGGAGCAACACAGATTAGTTGATGAACAAAGGAAGGGATACAATGTGAAGTGTGCATGATAACAATGAGAGGATGAGATTAATCCAACGAATATTAATTGTGGTACACCGTAAATCATTTGAAGAGTTTGACCACCGAAGAACTTGTCAAGATATAAACCCATAAGTGAAACATCCAAGTTCATAATTTTTCCATGAATAGAAATAAACATATAAGGTAATGTCAAGTATCTATGACCTTTCATGGTATATTTTTGTTTTGGTCCATGAACATGGTCCATATAGTGTTCCAAAGTTGACAATCAAGGACTAATTCGCACTTATGAGACGTGAATTTTGCTAGCCAAACATTATTTTAACACAAATGTGAATCAAACTTAGAACCACCAGGTCGAACTCCCATATCCCAAGACACGCCTTACAACTATTAGAACAAGAGACTTGGTTTAACCTTTTATGGTTTATGTTAATGCACAAACTCCTTTCTTCTATTAATTAGCTAATTAACAAATAAAATAAAAACATTTCCCGAGACAATAGTAATTAGAACCAAACTATCAAGAAAAACTTGATGCAGAAAGACCACTCCTTTATTTACAAATTTCATACACTCGTTTGGCACCAGATTCGAACCTGTATCCAACATGGAAAGACCTATGAAATATGATTCATTGCTAGCCAAATAATTACATGCACCATTTTTCAGCATCCCAAAAATTATATACAAGGTAAAAGATGATATGGCATAATACAATCAATTAATCGTGAATTTCATATGTAGGATAAGCAAGAATGAGTTTAACTTCTTTAAGGAATTTTTTTTTTTTATTTCATCCTTTTTCTGCTTTAACTCCTTATGATTTTGTAGCCCACAGTATTGCTATATTTGTTTAGTAAAACATGTCCATTATGAATCAAACAACATCAACATCATGTACCAGAAATCAAGTTTTATCTCAAATAAATGCATCCAACTTTAAGAGGATTTGGTAAGTTTGTTGATAACAAAAAAATCTTCCCAATCTTTTAGTCAGTTGACCTTTAATACTGCAATGTAAACTGGTTTAATTTAGCTGCTACCGAGTAACCATAAATATTGTATCGAGATTTGAATTCGGGCTATAAACATTAGTGATCAAAAGGATCACGGAAATGAAACTCTCAAGAGGTTACTGATCCAGATGAATGGTTCTTGTCCCTACCACTTCATCAGCCTACCTAGAATTTCATCGATCATACATAACTCTAATTTAGAAATTAGAAATTGAAATTTCCCTGAAAACATCTCTAAAAAGTGACAAAAATTTCCACATGAGGAATTCCTAGGCTGAAAGTTTCAAATGAAGCCAATTCTACCAGAAAAGCAAGCATCACATGACATTGTGACAACATACTCTGCATAAAACACAATCATTACCCAGTTCTAGAAGAATATATCTAATTCCATCCTTTTCATCAACTCACCCAAAATTTCATTAGTCCTGATTCCACTTTAGGAATCAGAAATTGAATTTTCCATGAAAACATTTCCAAAATATTTTGAAAACTCCAAACAACTAATTTTTCCATTAAAAGTCCAAAAAAATCAATATTTGAGTTTTAAGCAACAAACAACCAGAAGATAATACTCACGGATTCAACCATAAACCACACAAAACTTAGACTTGCAAGAGCTACTCTCAATTTTCCCGCACAATCCAGCCAGAAGAATACTCACAGTTAGCCTAAATGGAGGTTTTCATTTGAAATAAATATATTTTTAATCTTTAAACTTTTTGTCAATTTTTTCTTCCTAACTTTAGTACTCAAACTTTTTCACTTTTAAAAATTAAAACATCAACTTTTTTTTCAAAAAAAAAAACAAAACAAAACTTGACAAAAGTTCATGAATTAAAAATATATTTAATTATATTTAATACTTCTCCCTATTAATAATGCTTGTACCCAAATTTGGTTGAACATTTCCCTCCTTAATAGACAAACAACAAAAACCGATGAGAGAAAGGGGAGAGAGAGACAATAACCTGCAATCAAATAAGAAGTTATATCCAACAAATTGCGTACGATGAAAACACTATAAGAATTCAGACAAGAATCCTGCGCTGCTGCCTCTTCTCCCAAACCATGGTCGAACCCTAACAATAAAATCGACAAAGTTGGGAGATTTCAAATAAAAATCCTTGATTGGAATGGAAGATTTCATACAAGAATCCATAAGAGAAAGAGAGGGATCATACCTGAGAAAAGGGTCCAGAGAGATTGGGACAGAAGAGGAGATTCATCCACGCTTCTCTCTCTCTCTTTTTTTTTTTAGCTTCTTAAGTTTCTTTTTATTATTTATTTATTCTTTAATTTTTTTAACAGAATTCATTAACTTCTTAATTAAAAATACAATAGATGCTAAAATATGGTAATATTTTCAAATTATTATAATGACAAATATTTTTTAATAGATATAACGATAAACATTAAATAATCTTTTGTTTTGAATTAAATTTAATATAAATTAAAATTAATAAATGTGACCCATTATTTATAATTATTTATTTATATTATTAGTACAGATAAGAGACATTTTTTTGCCTCTCTGATTTAAAAAGAAAAATAAACAAAATAAATAAAATATAAAAATTATAGAGATAATAAATAGTTTTAGCAGAAAAATTAATGAACTAGTTTGATTTTGAAATTGATTTTTAAAATACTAAAATTTTAAATAAAAGTGTATTGGTGTACAAGAGGAACTCAAACTATATTCCCTCACTTTAATTTAGAACTAACTTATCACTAGACTACTTATCAATTTATTGTCATATCTTTCCAATACATTATACATATATAATTTTATTAAATAATAACAATTAAAGATAAGTTTTTTATTTTCCAAAGAAGAATTTTTCCCGCTCAAAATTAATATAAAACAGACTACACCACTTCATGTTAGATATTACATATATATTATCCATATTCAATTTTATACCTATTTTTTCACTAAATTATGTTAACTATTTTGTTTTTATGCTGTTTTTTTTAATAGAAATCGATTACTAAATTATGTTAACTACTTTGTTTTTATGTTCTTTTTAATAGAAATCGATTTTATTGGTTTAACAAGTGACTTTTCGGTTTAATCTTTAAACCATCAAACCATTGTTTAAACTACTTCAATGATTGGTTTATTTTTATAACATTAAATATAAGTAATTTCTCAAATAAGTTAAAAAGGGATTAGAATGATAAAATGGAAAAGGAAAAGTGTAGGCAAAAAAAAAAATTATCATCTTTATTATAGTTATATATTATAATGTTGACATCTTAACTCATTCAATTCTCTTTTTCATTTTTTCTATAAAAATTATAATAATGGTAACATGGTTCAAATTTATTTTTATTTATAATTATTATAACGATTTAAATATATATACATATAAGCAAATTACATTAGTTTACACTAAGTGTATTTTACATTGTTTGTTTCATTGTCCTAAAGTGCAACTCATCTTTTTACTGTTCAGAAGGTTTTGTGGCGGGTTTATATTTTCTTTTTCTCCACTTCTTGGTCTTCAACATCACGCTTAAGTACATCTTTATGTTTATCTGAAATAGTTATTTACGCTATCCAGTCATCTTTCACTTTTCTTCTCATTATATTTCCTTGTGAGGTAGTTACGTTGGCAGGTTAATCATACTTTAGTTATTCTATTACACCTACTACTGCTCGACTACACTAATAACTTCTTTCATTTCTTGAATTTTTTCATTTCTTTATCAGACAATTTTAATTTGTTGAATGCTTGAATGTATGAAAAGAATGAATGTAGGGAAACCAATGTTGTTATATTTTTCTGATTT